TTTGCTACCTTCCTGGGTTGGGCTGGAGTCTGGACTGGCTGAGATAAAAACCGGCAGCCAGCAAGAGCGAGGCTGTGTTGGGAGATTATGAGTGGATTCCATGTTCTTGGGCAGGAGTCCAGAAGTGTCAGGGGCTGAGGCCTGGGTTGTTCCTGAACTCTGGGAATTGTAGGAGGTAGGAGGAACTTCTTGATCTCCTCCTCCCCCACAACGCCTTTTCACAGATTCCTCTCTCTTCTCCCTCTTGGGTCACCTTCCGGAACTCTGTGTCTGCTCTCAGGCTGAAATCTGGCATCATCTCAGGTTCCCTGTCCCCAGCACTGTCCCTGTGGAGCTGGTGGCTGACAACGATGTATTTTCCATCAGTCAATAAAAACTGAGAGGAGAGATGAGAATGAGAACCTCCTGGCTCTGTGGGTTTGGGGGCTGGGTTGGGCTGGGGGGTTAAAAATGCTCAGATTTCAATTCCTTTCATCTAGTAGAGGGGCTGTTGTGGGGAAAGGTATGGGAGGTGGATGGTTGGTGGTGTGTTTTGGAAGATGGGGATCTAGGAGAAACGAAAGAGGGTGCTTGGAAGAGTTAAATCTACAGCCAGTGAGGGAGGCTAGTAGTCCTGAGAATGCCCCCTGGACATAATCTGCTCCAGCTCCCTCACTCACAGATGGGGAAACTGAGATCCAAAGCAGCACATGCTTGGTTAGAGGAGACTTAAACTCAGGCTTCCTGACAGCAAACAGCTCTGAATTGAACCCTGACGAAAATCACCCCTCAGTGTGGCGAATTCGCCTTCCTTGTGGATGTCCCCTACCTATATTCTTTCTTATGGGCTACTGGATACACTAGACTAGTGCGACTGAGCTCTGTGGAGCACCAGGAAGACAGGCCTCGGATTCAGGTTGACCTGGGTTCTAATCCCTGGGTGAGAGAATTACTTATCTTCTTTTGCTTCAGGATGCTAATCTGTGAAATAGAGATGATCATTCATTTAGTCACCAAATATTTCTTAACTGCATATCACGTGCTAGCCCTAGGGATACCAAGATGGGCAAAACAGACATCCCCTCTGATCTACAAAGGTGACAGTGGAAGGCAATTGAGTATTTACAATATAGTGCAGTAGAACCAAGATGGATAGGTTACAGAGGCATGTAGGTGGCAGGAGAACCTAACCTGACCAGAACAATGAGTTGGGAGTTGGCCAGGGAAAAGACAAAAAGAGTAAAAATATTTTAGGCAGAGGGAACAGCATGTGCAATGACCTGAAGGTTAGAGAGTGAGCACAGGGCCTGGAACTGAAGTAGTTCAGCACAGCCCAAGAGGAGAGCGTGAGGCTGTGATGAGGGTGAGGATGGAGCAGTAGGCCAGACCACAAAAGGCTTTTGAAGCTTTGATACAGATTTCGACTTCATCCTAAGGATGATGGGGACCTCAAGGCTTTCACACAGGAAAGTGATCATGAGGTTTGTGTTTCAGAGGGATTATTCTGTGGGGAGTGGATTATAGAGAACCAGTCCTGGAGGGAGGAAAAAACAGTGAATAGGCTTTTGCAGTAGTCCAGTTGGTAGATGATGGTGGCTTAGACCAGGTAGTGGCAGTAAGAGTTGGAAAGTCAAGAGATTTCAGAGGTAGAATTGGCAAGATTTGGGATTGACAGGTATGTGGGAGTTGAGGAAGAGGGAGCAGTCAAGGTTGACTCCAGGTTTCTGTTTTGGGCAAAGGCTGGAGGGGGCCATTCATTCACTATCAAAGGGAATGTCAAAGCTGTTAATTGCACAGTGACAGGCAGATAGTAAGTACTTGGTGAAGGTTAACTACAATTATTCTCATAAGTTCAGTTTTAGATGTGTGGCGCTGGACAAATATCCAGTAGGGAGTGGGATATGTGGGTCGAGTGAGATGCTCATGAGAAGATGCAATGTGATAATGTGCATAGGCATTTGGCACAGTGCCCCCAAACACAACAAGCCCAGTAAACGTGAGTCTTCTCCTCCCATTAAGGCTCATGAGCAGAAAACACCACTATAGTCTGTTTATTACTGACACCCTTCAGGAATGATCTTCAACTAGAGTTGGCATCTTAAGGGAGATTAAGTGGCACTCAGAAGAGCTTTGTGATGGCCTGTTGTATACCTTGGCTTATGGGACAGGCAGGGAGCCTTCACCTCTCACAACACCTTGGTTCATGAGCTCATCTGAACTTCCTAACTACTGGCTGAGGTAGTCTGGGTAGGCATTAATATTCCCGTTTTACACGTGGGAAACCTCAAATTTGAGACACAGTGACTTGCTCAAAATTATGCAGTTGGTAATGGTCCATCTGTGCCTGGAACTAAGGTCTTCCAGACTCCAAAACCTGGGATCCTTTCCATTGCACCGCCATGCAGATTAATTTATTGGGCGCTTACTATGTTCCAGGCACAGCACCAGGCCCTTTCCAAGTATTAACCTCTTATTCTTATATTGGAATTATCATTGCCATTTTACAGAGAAGTGGAAATTCAGGATGGGGTGGGTGTCAAACGACTAGCCAGAGATCACTCAGACAGGAGGCACAGAGCTAGGATTAGCTCGCCATCCTTTCAATAGCATGAATTTTCCCAATCTCATTGCGAGATGCTGGTTGATGACAGAGCTGGTTCATAAACTTTGCTCGATTCAGGTAAACTCAGTTCCAGGGTAGGGGGCCAAAAAAAGGAAAAAACGGGGGTAGGGGAAAAGGCTGTGCCGCGCCTGCGCACTAGCCACAGGGGCGAGGAGGTCAACGCGAGGGCGAGAGCGCGGTGGTGCCAGAGAGGGCGTGTCTACTTCCCAAACACCCGCTGTCCCCACGGTGTCCGTCTGTCCCAAGGTTGGCCCGTCCAACGTGAGAGACGGCATCTCTTAACCAATCACGCAGAGCTCGGCCTGTTGCCAGGGTGAAACGGCGCCCGCCTCTCCACCGGAAGTGGATTTGCAGGTAGGTGGAACAGGAACTGACGCTTTAGGGGCTTGCTAAGCCCTGGGAGTGTTGATATTTTCCAGTCAGTCCGGCTGACTGCGGCCAAGTTGGAAGCCCGGAAGGGAGGTGATTTTAAAATTGTCGCTCGTGGGGCATGCCACACTGTCCTGTCGCAGAACCCACGCCTGCGAGGCAGAGCCCCGGGGAGAGAAGTTAAGAGCGGGACGGGCCGACGAGAGGAAAGGCAAGGAACGAGGGTGCCGACATTGACTGAAATCTGAGACGGTGGGCAGGGAGGGCGAACGTTCGCTTCTGATTGGCCCGTGGCTGTCATCGAGGACCCACGCAGCCGCTTTGATTGGTTGGTGCTCGCAATTGTTGTGGTGGCGGCGAAGATTTTGCCCACGTACTTCCGAACGAGAGGCGGGGCTGTGCCCCGGCGCGCGTGCGCAACTCCCGGGGCCCCACCCGGTAGTTCAAGAACCTGCGAGGGGGCGGGGCGAAGAGGTGCTTGTTTTGGTTGTTTCCTTTGAAGCCGAAGGCCGGAACGAACGTAGCAATAACTTGCTGGACTTGGAGCGAAGGCAACGACAGGCTCGCCGCGGTGCCTTCATCTAGGACATCACATCCGGGTTCTGCCTTGTGACCCTCGCACCGCCGACGGTTCGAGAACCGGTGCTGTGATCTCTTTATCCGGGTCCCGCCGATCCCGTCGTGCTTCGCGCACCACTGTAGCCCCCTCATCCGGGTCCTCTCCCGGCGTGCCCCGCGTTGGGTTTGCTGGGGGGTACTCGGTGCTGCCGCCATGACTATT